TGTGCATCAGTCACTGTGTACACTGCTGCTCTTTATTTAGTTACTGGTGACTACCTATGTTAATTTTTTTCTTCTACCTTTGCACTGCAGCTTTTAACCAGAGTTTTTTCATTCTAGCTTTCATGCTGTCTCCTTGACAGCAGATTATAATGAATGTAGTTTTGGCTGCAGCTGCTTCTTGGGTACTTCCAGGCTGAGCTTGAAAATTTGTCTTCTGGTGTCTCTTACTGCTTCAATCTTTTCCTGCATCAGATTACTTTATTATTTTTCTAGACAGAGGTCTGTTTCATTGCTAAAAATCTAGACTTTTTTCACACTTGCTTGTGAATCATAAGTTGTGGTCTCTCTGTCTTACACAGAAACACAAAGTATGAGGTGGTGTGCTGGGTCTTTCACATGGTGCTGTACGAGGGCACACTGGACCTTGTTCCAGTACTTAAAAAACCTTGCAATGGCTGTGTTGCTACTTTCAGCAGCGAGTCATTGCCAGTTCAGGTGCCTGCTCCCTTGTGTCCTAGAGGCATGCACTTACAGGCATACCCTTTCAGATCCCTACTTTTCGCTTCATGAACATACTACGTCATCTCCAATTAGTGGTTCCCCTTTGTGTTTCAAAACTATTTTTGCAATAACAATGGCAGTTGCTTATTTGGAGAAGCATTTTCCGGACATTTACTCAATTCAGGTTTAGCTGTTTTATGAACTTTTTTTTACCTCAGTTCAGTGGGCCACCAGAAAGTGGTCTTTTCACTCTGAGTGTTTTGACCAACATATGCGTGATGCTGAATTTCCTTACAGAAAAATAATTAGCTGTACTTGCTGGTTGAGGTAAATAAACTTTCAGTGTAAAATGTGGCTGTATAAAAGCACCAAGGACCTGGCTTGGTATGTGTCCTAAACCAAAATGCCCAGAGCCTCAGTGGTTATAATTTGCTCCCACTGAAAGGAATTATTTTGTTTCCCAGCAGTGGATAGTCCAGAGCAAGTTGAGCAAGCTGTTTTCCCTATTATATGGAGTGTTGACTCACCTGACTTTCTAGCCTGGTGAGGAGTTTGAGGAAGACGATGCCAAAAGGTCTGCAGAAAGGGAAATCCTTCTACACTTACAGGGAGGTGGAACCAGGTGGAAGCAGTTGCCTGTGGGATCTTTAATGCCTGCCCTGAGAAATTGTATTTCTTTCCAATAGCTAATTTTCTTGTTTCTCCCCATGTGGAGAAATCATTTTAATTGTAAGAACAACCCCATAGCATGTAAAGTAGTAAAATAAGTGGTTAAGAGTGGGTCTGAATAACATCATCTGTTACCATATTATTTTAGAATACCCACTGCTATGGCAACTGGAGATCAGTGAACAGTTGTGTCTTGTGTCAGGAAAACATACTTTTTTATTTGTGAAAATGAAGATCAAAAGAGTGAATTGAATTTATTAAATCTGCATAGTACACCCTGCTAAAGTCCTGAGGGCAGCTACAAGTTCAGCATTAAAATTACTGTGGAATTACAATGGTTTATCATGTTTTTCACTTTGAAGTTAGCTTTTAAAGAAAGAATATTTAGCTAAAGACTTCATAGTGCTGCTAAAAAAAAGATGCATGTCTTCCTATTTGAGAATGTGGAACAATTTACAGAAAAATCCAAGCCTAAATCCAACGGAAGATTAAAAAAAACAGCAACTGATTGTATATTATTTAAAGGAGATATATATATATTGTATATATATATATCCTTTAGTAATGACTCTATTTTAATAATATTCATGGAAATCAAAAAATATTCACAGAATATTTTCAGTTGAAAGGGACCCACAAGTATCACTGAATCCAGCTCATAAATTTACTTTTCAGTGGTCACATTTCAATTATTTTTTTCATTCCCAGATGGGACAAGAGCAAGTATGTTTGAAATTGCTTGCAGAATGTGTTTTTATCCAAATTTTTTCACTTAGAAATGTAGAAATTAATTTGTATTTAAATATTTTATTATTTCTAAGTGTAAAAACTATTACCATTTATTTTTAAATGAACTATATCTTCTAATTCAGTTTTTCAAATATTCTTCTTAATCACAGTGGCTGCAGTTTGTTGTGATGAAAAAAATGCTTTTCATCTGATGATAAATGACAGCTGCTCTCAGCAATCTAAAGTTAAGAAAGTACTAGTTATAAATTATAAATATAGGTATGATATTCATTGCTACAACTGATATAACATAACGTAACATGACAAACCTAACATAACATATAATATGCAAATGAAAACCCCATCAAATATAATTATCAAAAAACCTTTAGCTGTTCTGGAGTATTAAGAAGCCTCTTTAAGTCTTTTTTTCTTGTGTATTTTCATTAACAGAAGACTTTCTCCTAAAAGATGAAGCCTATAGGTGAAAAGTATAGTTATTTTCCCAGAAAAATGAATGTATTTCCTGTTTCTGTCAGCATGAGTTTTTTTTTTTTTTGTTAATAAGAATCTGGTTTGGTTGGCATAAATTGCTCTTGAGAAGATCATCTTGAATAACGTATGTCAAATTCTGTCTACTGCTGGAATCATTCCCCTTCACTCAGACAAAAATAGCATGTTATCTTATGAATGGTCACAATTCCAATGGAGGGGATGGGATGTGTTTGTGAGTCAGCAAAGTCTGGGTACTAGGCAGTCAGATTTCTGTCCCAGAGTGCTGCAGTGTTTCAGCTTTTGCTAGTGTATATCTCATCATTGTTGCATTTGACAGGTGGATCAACTGTGAAAAAATTTAAAATTATTTTCCACTAAAATGACTTTCAGCTTCTGTTAATCAGATTCCAGGGTCTGGGACAAAGAATGTAAAACACCTAACCCCCAACACCTTTATCCTTCAGAAACCTGCTAAAAAAAAGGGAGTTATGCACTTCACAAAATTTTTTTTGTAGCCTCAAACTCTTTTCAGCCCTTTGAAGAAAATGCCATGGTGACCTTCTGTGGCTTTCCCACTGTAGAACCTTGTACATATTTTCTGCTGATCAAGGCAGAAAACGAGCTCAATTTGGAGGGCAGAAAGCCACCTGAATAAATCATGCTTCAAGTACACGACCCAATTTCTCGGTGCAATGTCATACTCTCCTAATGAAAGTGTTCTGGTTTCAGCACAGTTATCTTTTCCCTGGCAGTGAAAGAAAAACCTTGAAAGCAGATGTATTTAGCAATAATTATAAATTCTTCTTTGCAAACAAATGAGCCATGGTGGGATGCTGATAATACAGTGATTGCGCAGCTCTGCTGAGCCCTTGCTGCCATGAGACAGTAATGACGTAGCTTATCCCAGTTTCACCTTCCATGTTTTCTTTTGAAGGAATTGCAACAAAAGCTAATATTACTTAGATTCCAAAGGGAAACTTTAAGTAAAGTTTTAAATCTAAACTCCCTCAACCTTTGGAGAAATCTGGATTTGGACTGACTATTGGTGGCTAACAACATTCTGTTGAGTACTGTTTCACAGCAAAATATATACCTCTGGTGGGGTTTTAATGTGGATTATTTTTGTTTGGTTTGGATTGGGTTTTTCTGTTGATTTTCTTTTGTTTCTTAAGTTACATTATCTAATGTGTGTCTGATTTCTGGGGGCTTTCTTTTCAAGACCTCAAAGATACTTCAACTCTTGAGTTTCCATTGGAAGCAATGTAAGTATAAAGACAATAGCAATCTGTTAATGCTACTGAAATAACTTGAAGACTGGAAAAAGTAGTGTTCTACTTCATGTTCTTTTAAACAAAAGTGTATTTCTTTTTCAGTCCAATGGGAAGGCCAGGAAAGACTTCTGTTTCTGGGAAGGAGGTAGAGTTTTCACTGTGATCATATTTTTCTCACTGTTCTTCAACATTTTTTCTTTAAAGGTAAAGCTGTCAATAGTCATTTAAATTCTGCCAACTGACTTTACATTAGAGAAAATGAGGAATTATTTCACAGTTCTTATGGCTCATAAAATGTGTAATTTTAGTATATGTCTGTCCCTCAAGTGAGGACAGCAACAAGCACTTGGGAGTAAAAAAAAGCTAAGCAGTTTTTGCCATTTATTCCTGCAACTAGGCAGAGGATGCATAAACAACAAACTATGACATTTAGATGCAAGGCCAGTATGTCCTTGGACATTTTTGTTTAACAAACTTAATATTGATGCTTTTTAAGTTCACAAGTTCACATGTTTTCTGTTTGTGCTCTGGGTATTACCAGAAGTGTTTCAGGTTTTTTGTTGTTGTTGTTGTTGTTTTTTAAACAGCCAAGAACTTTTCTTTATGCTTTTAGTGTTATGGAGATGCTATAAGATTTATTACAGGATAACTGTCATATATATATGAGAAAACTGAGAACTTTGATACTGAAAAATTACTAAATATGAGATTTGCTTAAAATACCTTTTATAAACTACAAACAAAATAATATTAAGAAAATTGTTTCATTAGTTTGCATCCAACCTATTTCTAACCCATTTTTAACCCACAAATTTTTACTTTTTGTTTCAACTCACAATTAATTGTGCTCTAGCCTAGTTTAACAGGAAGGATCTTGCTTTATGGCTCAAAGTCACAAATGTAATCAATGGGATGTACACTGTTGTTGCAGATATGAGTCTTTAAAGTGCTAAGCACCACAGGCATGATCCTAATTTGTAATCATATGTTTAAACAGAGAAAAGAATGAGACGATCTATTTGACTGGTGGGATTGGATTTTGAGTATGCTGCAGACTTCACATCTCAGCCCTCAGACTGTGCGCATTATGTTCTGAAAACTAGAGGAAAAGTAGTCTTTTGGTAAGATGCTGGCATTCCAGTGTGCTTTTTGCTATGGTGCAGTTACCCAGGAAGAGAACAATGTGGTAATTCTGCTTGTGGCTTTACCCTGTCTTGTCAAGGAAGGCATGTTCTTTATTTATTTGGCCTTAAAACTTTCCACTATAAAGATCTCAAATAAATAAACATAGACTGTATAGTACTGAAACACAAAATAAAGACAGTAACAAAGAAGGCAACCTTGCTTTGCGTTTATTTACTAATGCTTACAAAAGTTATGAATGTATACCAATGCTAATGATTAGCTGCTGCTACAGCATCTTTTGAGATGAATCAGAAGACATAGCATGAAATTTAAAATGCAAAACATAACTGGGGAAAAACTGAGCCACCTTCTCACATCCTTGTCTCCTCCAGTGGTCTGTTCATGAAATCTTGGATTGCCTGGTGTAGGGGTAACCATTTATTAATTGAAGCTTTCAAGGCTGTAATCCACCTAGAAGAAATGAAAGACCAACAATTGTCCCTGATCAAGTCTTATGCATGCATTTCTATGTTCTTTGAAACAAACTTTTAATAAATGGTGTTTGTACAGCTGTGTTACAATGTGCTAATAGTCAGGGCATTGGAGAGATACAGAAGATGGAGGAGTTGGCTATTAGCAACAACATATCAACACCAATTTTCCAACATACTGAAAAGCTCTGTCATTGTTCATTAAATTAAAACCCAAGTAATGTAATTAGTAGGCTTTAGGCAAGAACTCCTGCTGACAGATGTGGAATTTGACTGGATTATGATGAGGGAATTTACCTTCAGAGTGTGATTTCATTGGCCAATTTTCTTAAATTAATTAAATTCTAATGGTCATTGATGGAAGTAAATAATTCTTGGGAATGAGGAGCACACAAATTCCATTCTCTCTAATGAGAGGTTGTCATAGCTTTTATGTTTAGTATAATCCCCAAACATAACTGTGAAAGGCACCTTATCCAGGTTTTTTCCGAACCTCTGCCAGCCAGCCTTGCTGTGGTTCCAGCATGGACAAGAACAGAGCTGGTGACTCACATGTGCAAGTAAATGCTGTACAGCAGTTTGACTAAAGCTACTGCTAAAGGGAAATCTGGGGGAATAAGGGAAAACAGACTGAAATGTTGTCATTAGATCTTCCCAGGAACCACAGAGCTCCTTCTTTCCTGAAGCTTGGCAAATAAAATTGGATAAAAACCAGTTTGGTTTACCTTTTGTTTTCATTTACATTCTCTGCACATAAGTAAAAGGTTTTAAATTCTTCAGATGGAGGTTTGAGTTCAATTACAGATCTCTTGGAGCCCAGAGACTGTTCACTCACAATATACCCTTGTAGGTAAAGGCCACCTGGATAGAATAAAATAGCATGCATGATGTATATTACAGATACCATTTACAGAATTACTACCAATTACAAGCATACCAACAAATCTGGAGAACTGGATTTTCAGATGCCTTCTGTTGGGTGTATGGACAGACTTTTACAGAATTTACATTTAAAAATGTGAAAATTGAGTTTGTTTTTTTCTTCTGAAAATTGATTTCAAAGTAGTGTAAAACAGTCTTCCTGTCTAGCAAATGATTAGCAACAGAGTTTTATTTAGCAAAATATTTTTCCTAGTTTTTGACTTCTATCCATAAGGCTGCCTCAAGCCCTGTAAAGTTCTTTGGAAGGGTGGATCTTGTTGCTGATACTTTCTTTTTCTTTCCTTTAAAAATTAAAGGGATATGGATTTCCACATGAAAAAAATATGCTAGGTCAGCATTGGTTCATCTTGCTGCCATTAGTAACTGATACATCATTGTGAAGCCACAACTAGCCAGCTGTGAAGGAGAGGCATTAGACAGAATTTTGCCTTCCGGACATTTTAATTTTACCTGTTTTTTTTTTATTTTTTCCCCCCAGATCTTATCTCAGTGCAACAAGGTGTCATCATGGCTGGGCTTCGCAAACGAAGATTTGGGAAGGCTCTATCCACATTTGTTACAGGCACGCTGGTGGCTTATGAGGCCAATATGTGACAGACATATCCGATTGCAAAAGGCACAGCCGAAAGACTCCTTAGGTGATATATTCTGCAAGACACGGTTCTTTCTGCGTTGCCTTTTTTCCTCGAGGGTGATCCTGCGTGTGTTCTCGAAGGAGACAGCAGCGTTATAGATGGTGTGTCTCCAGGCCTCCCGATTGGAGGCCAGAGTAGACCAGTTATGGTGATCAGTATGGCCAAGGCTGAGATGTTGTTTCAGGGAGTCCTTGTATCTTTTCTTTGGGGCTCCTCTCATGCAGCAGCCAGTGGCAAGTTCACCATAGAGCAGGATCTTAGGGAGGCGGTGGTCCTTCATCGCAACAAGGTGTATGTCCACTTTATATATACATGGCAAATAGTCAAAAAGACCTGCAGAACTGATTAATGGCAGCTGAATGTTCCTGTTACTGTCTTCAGGGTCTATATTTTTTTGGCATCTCACATGTAGTCACGACAGCATCAAATTAATGCTCTAGCATTGAGAATGATATGAGAGAATAAGAATCTATACTGAAATTGGAAAAAAATGTAATAACAAGAGAGAAAACACTACCATGTACAAGAATTTGTATGTAGTAGGATATTTAAGCACCAAAACAAAATATTTGGCAGTAGGAGCATAGGCTTCAGTGTCATAAATGCATAATACTTAATTTTTGCCTTTCTGCTAATTTGGTGCTTTTCTCTGGGCAAGTCTTCAGTTTCATGTGGAGAGGAAATCCCTGGTCACTTCATAAGTATGGCCTTTGGCAGATGAAAAAAAGTGCTATGCAAGTGGTATAAGTGGAGCACTTCTTGCCTGATCATGTGGCAAACAGCATAAATGCTAAGAAAAGTTTTTCCCCTTTGATCTGAAAACTGACTGCCAAGCAAAAATACAATAGTATTTCTGACTGCAGGCTTCCTTAGCACAGGGAGGAAGCATTTACAGGTCCTGAGCCATCGCTGGGGCAACTTTTTTTTTTTTAAATACTGACTTTCGCAGAGCTGCTCTTGTAGGCTTTTAGTGTCTGAAGTGAGCTCTGCTTGCAATTGACCCTAGTAGCCTCATGCTGCTGCCATGCAAAATTTGACAGCTTTCAGGAGACTGCCATGAGTCAAACTGCCTCCAGCCACCATAAAGTGCTTTGGAAGAGTGGATCTTGTTTCTGATACTTCTCCTGAGGTAATATGCACATATTCTGACTAGCTCCATTTCAGAAACAAAAATTCAGACTGTGGGAGAAAAAGAAGACTGAGGTGGGGAATGAGAGAGACTGAAATGAAATGAAAAAGAGACTGAGTCTTCACTCACCTACATGGAAAACCATCAATTTACTGATAAGAAACTCTCATTAATGGTAAAGGTTCTATTGGATGGAAACTGCAGTGAAACATTTTTGCCTCAATGATCAATGAAAATTTAGCAGCCATCCCTACCTTGGGCAGGTGTAGACCGGAGAGTGGCATAAAAGTACAAACAGCCATCCTTCAGAATGCAGTAGTGCTGAATCCAGACATCTTTGCTCCTGTCCAGCTGGTGGAGAAGACCCAGGCACTCGGGATTTTTGATAGCCAAGGGTGGGAGTGTAGTGTTATGTAGTGTGACATCTACCCACACATGGTTCTGCAAAGAAAGCACGTAATGAAAAGTTCTAGTAAAAACTTAAGGAGGAACTGCTAGCATGAAAGGACACAAGCTCTAGTCCTTTGCTAGGAAATTAGCTTTTGTTGTGAAAATAGTTTGAAAAGTTGTGCTGGTTTTGGCTGGAATAGGGTTAATGTTCTTCACGGTAGTACAGGGCTGTGTTTTGGTTTTGTGCTGAAAACAGTGTTGATAGCACAGGATGTTTTCTTTATTGCTGAGCAGGGCTTACACAGAGCCAAGGCCTTTTCTGCCCCTCACCCCACCAGTGGCAGACTGGAGGTGCAGAAGGAGTTGGGAGGGGACACAGCCAAGACAGGTGACCAAAGGGATATCCCAGACCATAGGGTGTCATGCTCAGCATACAAAGCTCAGGGAAGACGAAAGATGGGGGAAAATTGGAGTGATGTGTTTGTCTTCCCAAGTCACCATTACATGTGAGGGAGCCCTGCTCTCCTGGAGATGGGTGAACATCTGCCTGCCCACGACATATAGTGAATGAATCCCTTGTTTTGTGTTACATATTAAAATATTTTTATCTCAATCCACAAGTTGTCTTGCTGAGCTGCCTTCTGGGGTTAAGCCACAACAGAAGTCAGTGCTGAAAATGAAATTAGAAAATCCTATACAGGATGGCAAACACTGTCCAACTTCTACTTTCTTCTTACAATGATAACTTCTATTTTCTACATCTGTTTTATTTTCAGTACTACCTGTGTTGCTGGTACAAGCAGGATTATTTCAAAGTTTTATGAAGAAGGTTTTTTTTTTTAAAATTGTGTTGTTGATTGTTGGACTTCAGTAGTCTTTACTGTGTGTAATCTGGCAAGACAAGATTCACCATCTTCCCTCTGGGTTCCAGAGAAAATGTGTGGGGTATGAGGCCAGAATACAGCACTCAGGCTTGGATGGAAGCACTACCACGCACAAAATGTTTACAGATACCTTCCCATCCCTTTATGGAAAGGAGAACCTTTTCCATTACCAAAATTACTTGTCATTTACAAGTGAAGAAAAAGCTCAACGCATGAAACACTGCCAATGTATACGCTATTTGTATGATAAAATAATAAAAAAAAAATCAGGAAAAAATAATCTCTTGTGTTATTAGATCAAGTTGTTTAATGTGAGATGAAAGCATTTCTTCTTCTCCTGTAAATCAGGGAGGTGTTAGAATCTCAGCCTCTCCTAGTGTGTTTTGCCATCTGGAATACATATTTAGAATTCTACATATACCAGTGTCATTGTCATTTGAAATCCATGGGGACAATGTGTGCAATACCAATATCTTCCTGTTTGTTTCCACAGGGACTTTCTTTTGCTTTTATTTATGATATTTTTTCAGTATCCTTGACAAGGCAAAGACTGAAAAAAGACCTAGCACAATATAGCTGACTGTATTCTTTGTTACAAATGGGAAACCTGCTGAGACTTACTGCAGCAAAGTGCATAAGAGGATTTCAGTAACACTAGTTATTAAAGCAGTTATTCATTAAGAGGACATAGTGTCAATATAATGGTCTACTAAATCACTGTGTTGTAAACTCTACTGTAAAACACTAGCTGTTGCAAAAAGTCAGTAAAAAAGTATAGCAAATGAAAAAGAAGGAAAATATAAGATTTTTCTATTCAACTTAATGGAAAGTCTAGTTAGAAGGAAGGTTAGGAAATGAAAGTGACATATTAAATCAAACATTTATTTCAAAAAAGGATATTGTTCACTCAAAGACAAAACCCAAAAAAAGATAGTGCAGTCAGAAATGTTTCATGGTTGGGCTTCGCGAACGAAGATTTGGGAAGGGCTCTACCCACGTTTGCTACAAGTGCGCTGGTGGCTAAAAAGGCCAATACGAGATAAACAAGTCCAGTTGCAAAAGGCACAGCAGAAGGACTCCTTAGGTGGTATATTCTGCAAGACACGATTCTTTCTGTGTTGTTTTTTCTCCTCAAGGGTGATCCTGCGTGCTTTCTCAAAAGCATCAGCAGAGTTATAGATGGCGTGTCTCCAGGCCTCCCGATTGGAGGCCAGAGTAGACCAGTTATGGTGATCAATATGGCCAAGGCTGAGATGTTGTTTCAGGGAGTCCTTGTATCTTCTCTTTGGAGCTCCTCTCTTAACGGCAGCCGGTGGCAAGTTCACCATAAAGCAGGATCTTAGGGAGGCGGTGGTCCTTCATCCTTGAGATGTGCCCTGCCCAGCACAGCTGTGTTCTCAGCAACATGGCCTCTATACTTGTGACTGCTGCCTGTTCTAGAATAGATGTATTGGTCACATAATCTGACCAGTGGATGTTTAGGATTGTACGGAGGCAGTGTTGATGGAAACGTTCTAGGAGATGCAGGTGGTGGTGGTAGATGACCCATGATTCAGATCTGTATAAGAGAGTAGACAGCACTATGGCTCTGTAAACACTGATCTTGGTACTTTTCTTCAGGTGTTTATTTTGCCAAATTCTTTTATGAAGCTTTCCGAAAGCACTATATGCCTTTGTTAACCTGTTGTCTATCTCTCCGTCTATCTTACCATCCGAGGAGATGAGGCTACCTAGGTAATTAAACTGCTCGACTGATTTGAGTTCTGATTGGCCAATGGTGATGTGGGGATGATGGAAGACTTCCTGAGGTGCAGGTTGACAGAGAACTCCTGTCTTCTTCAAGCTGACTTCCAGCCCAAAGAGCTCAGCAGCATCTGCAAAGCAGGATGTTAAACGCTGCAGAGCTGCTTCTGTGTGGGCAACAAGGGCGGCGTCATCAGCGTAGAGTAGCTCCTGGACAAGATGGTTTAAGGTCTTAGTGTGGGCCTTCAGTCACCTTAGGTTGAATAGGCTTCCATCAGAACAGTGGTCAGAAATGTAGTGGCACAGAAAGAAGCTAACTTAATGTGCTGCTAATGGATGAATGCATGAGTGATCCTTCTGTAAATATAATGTTGGAACTTTTTATACAACAATTTATATATGCATGCTACACTAAAGAATGACCCTTTGATGTCTTTTATGTATGTGAACCTCTACTATCCTTTTTGGCCAAGTTCGTCTGCCACTGGTGGGGTGAGGGGTAGAAAAGGCCTTGGCTCTGTGTAAGCCCTGCTCAGCAATAAAGAAAACATCCTGTGCTACCAACACTGTTTTCAGCACAAAACCAAAACACAGCCCTGTACTACCTACTGTGAAGAACATTAACCCTATTCCAGCCAAAACCAGCACAACTTTTCAAATTATTTGGTTAGGGTACACACTTTAAATTGTTTTATTTATTTTTGCTCTTTCAAATACATTTATTACTTCATATTTTTTTGAGAAACACTGACAGGTAAAATATACTTGGAAGCAAGTTTGGTTTTGCAATTACAACCTACCTGAAAGCTAAAGGCAAAAGAAATATATATTTGATCAATTTTACTTCAGTGGAAAAGGAATTAAAGGAAATAAATACCTTTCACTGTTTGGAAACCATCATTAAACACTGCTGAAGAAATAACTTACACCCCCTTGTTTTTTTTCACTTCATGAATGCAGGTTATAGTTTGTACCTTGCAATTGTCATATTTTTTTAGTTGATGATTTTATTTCATTTGCAAAAAAGGTAGACCTTGATACTTATTCTGCATTTGAACCCCACATTCTTCCTGTTAAAAACAATGTGGCTCCGTAGCTAAAGCTCTTCAAAAAACTTTACAAATCAAATGCCTATTTTCACACAAGTGGTCGTCTATAGAAGGAAATTATAAGAATCATTAGGCCAGGAAAGGGCAGACTAAAATGTCTTTGACCCCTATACTTCCAATTCTGGAAATACTAAAATTAGATTTGCAATTCCCAGTTCAAAGGTCAGCCAGGGACTATTGATACTGAGTTATGTTGGGCTGAGCAAGGTCTCTCAGTAGCAGCTCAAGATCAGTTATGGCTGTATTTTTTCCAGCCACAGGGGCCAGCAGAGTGCACAGCTGTGTAAAGGGATAGGTAAAACAAAGTTTATTAGCTCACCTGTCTTTCTTCATCCCTGGAAACACAGAAAATAAGAACTCAGCAATCATGCCTCCCCCCACCCAATATTCTCTTGGAAAAAGCAGATTGCCTGCAACCAAGGGAGTCTTGTGGGTAATACTTATGAAGATATGACCCTTCTCTCCTTCTACTCCAATTTGTATTACCTCAGGCATAATACATGATTGTGAGTCACCTCTACCCTTTCTTTCTGCCTGATACACTAATTTTGGGTTATGTTTCTGAATCAGCTTAAAGTTGAGGGAGCATTTTGACTCGTTCTACCATATGGCAGCAAAACACGTAAGCTGAGTCTTAATTCTCTACATGGCTTTTAGATTGCAGATGACTCACAACCCAACAGCCCAGAACAAAAGTATGGAACTTCCATGTTGCTGTCTGCACCTGACCATGTACAGCTCCTGTCTCTCAGCCTTCTGCACAATCTGCTATACAAATGGTTCTCATCTAAATAAAGCATTACCTGATGGACAGGATGCACTGCTTTATCCATAGCCTCCAGCCACCTATAACATGACAAAAAGTGAGAGTAGCTTAGATTGGTAGAGCAGAAAAACATGCTTCACTGCCTCTTTTAATTCTTGCTGACATATGCAGTATCTAAAGCATCTAAATTTTCAGGACACACAAGGCTTTAAGATAGAAAAGCAGTGGATTAAATCTAAATAAACATTGCTAACTCTAAAAGAAAAGTCTCAAAGCTTACTGTGTAAGAACACGTTATAATAAATAAAGGCAATATTGCAGACAAGAGAATCTACAGATTTTGAATATAGTTTAACATGTCAGGCTAAATGATCACTCTTCTTGTCTTTGTCGTAATGCAGATAAGGAATTCGTAGGAGACACAAAGAATCCTGGAATTGGAAACTACAGAATAAAGCAATAACTTTGTTGGCAAAGTTATTCTGTTGCACTATGTATGGTATAAAATTTGGAAATGGAAAATGATATTACAATGGTGGATTATGTTAAGCAGTGAGATGATATAAAAAATGGGTGGATGAATACCAATATCAATTTACTTCATAGTTTTATATTTTTGACAATTCACAATAAAACAAAGACTACAATAAGTTTAGATTTCAGTACTTTTGGAAAGGGAGGACTTTTGGGTGAATTTAGGCTCTTTGTTTTGTCAGCTGTTGTCTTTAGGAAATGCAAAAGAGTATTTTTAAAGTCTAACTCTGCATCAAACCCAAAGTCACTGTCCCAGAACCAATATGCTTTTGGGGTATGTTTGCATTTTAAAATATTAAAATGAAAATGTGACAGAATGACAGAAAAGAAAATGGAAGATGGGAGTGTATTTATTACTAGCACTGTCCTTGTTTGGCAGAAGAGAGATCATTTATATGAAATTACTAATAAGAAAGTTTACATCCACGGGAAGATTTACACTTCTGTTTGATATAACAGTGGGACAGAAGGCATGAGAACATGGATTAAATTTTTTTCTCATGCTAAATCAAGAATTCAGGGGGATAGGAAAACATGAATGTTAAAGATTTTATTAAAAACAATTAAAAAACCTGTGAAACTGAAAAATAATTTTTGAAGCTTCTACAACTGAAAATTAGAAATATTATCTTTCAATAAGTAGCTGATAGATTTTTAATTTTTTCCTCTACTGATCAAGGCAGCTATTGTGAACATCCTCCAAAAATTCAGACTCCACGCTGGATTAACAAAACTGACGCTGTTAAAATGAAAGATCACTTACCTCTTCATTTCTTGGTTGGAAGTTGCACAGAAGTAGAAAATCCTGTTTCCAGTTTGAGGTATACATTTAAAAACAAATGGTTTCCCCAGACTGGTGTCAACACCAATTTCTGCTCCTTCCAGCTTCGTTACTTCCAGGGGTCTGCACTTCCCTTCATCCTGCAATTAGAAAGAGTGCCCAAAGTTCAGAACTATTATGAAACTGATCCCTGGGAGATGGGGATAAACTCCAGGAATATTCAAAGTTATAAAGCTCTTACACTTTTGAACCATCATATGGTTTAATGATCAGCAGTCCCAGCAATTACAGTGCAATCACAGAAGACAAGCTAGTCTAACACCCTCTAAATTTGCATCTGTGATTTTGCTCTCTTAATTGTTTTTGGTTCAACAGAAGCCATATCTGTAGCAAAAACACCTTTTTAGGTATGTGTAGGCATGTAAATGTCCAGCTATTGAGGGTTCAGCCGAGTGGTGCAGGAATTTTCAAAGTGCACTGAAGAATTGAGAGTCACAGATCTCTTTACTAATCAGTGCTGTTTACAGTCTGCGTTTATGCTGAAAACCTCACCTTATATGTGTAGATACAGGCAACAAGGGCTTAAATTGGAGAATAGTGAGCATAATTTAAAAGGCCGAATTTGAGCTCCTTTGCAAAGTTGTGGTAAATATAGTTCTGTTCATAACCCTTCCCATACAATTCAAATAACTTTCAATGGAAAGCACTTCATAACCTTTTTGCTTGTTCCTGATTGCATTAATGCTCTTGAGACTGAAGGGCATTGCCAATGTCTTTCCCTGTGCGAGTCATAAAGAGCCATTAAGCTCCTTAATACACAAAGGTAGGTGAAACAGTTTATCCACCTTCTTATTTCCCAGCCCAGCTCCCCCCAAATACACATCTTAATTCAAAACAAAGGTGCACACATCCAGACAGTGAACTGTAGCTATGTTTTAACCAATATTGTTTGCTTTGAAGATCTGTGACTGGAACTCTAACAATTGCATCAAATTTGGTAGCAATAAAATGGGAAACATGAGTTAATGCTGAGACATAGGGAAAGCATTAGTGCTGTTTGCAAAATACACAGATGGTGGAGTCTCATAGAATAAAATTAGTTGATTATTGGACGTTAATTAAATTTTGTCAGTAGGAGATGGATTGTAAATACCCCATGTAATTTTCCCTTAGCCTAAAAATAAACGTACATAGCCTTCCATGAAAAAAATGCACCTGTGGGAATTAGATAGTTAAATACTTAATTGCATGCTCACTAGCACATGTAATTATCCCTTTGTCATACATGATTTTCCTGTAGTAACAAAATAACCCCTAATACTGACAAATGTATAAATAAACATTTATAAGTACATTTCCTACATTTTTATTCATTCTTCTCATTCCATTTTTTTTAATGCTAAAGTTTTTTAATGTAAAACTAAAGAAGATAAAGGCAGTCCTGAAAGTTGTCAGTGCTGTGTGACCTACTTTATTTATTATGCCTTCAGACACAAAACTACATTGTGAACAGCATAACCAAAATACATATTCAGGGTCCAAATCTCATTTGTACTGCAAAGCATAGCAAGTGCAAGACCCTGTCCATGGTCTGAATTCTCCTCACTGCCCTGACTTGAAGGCAAAGGTCACTAGAGATACTGATATCACAGACGACTATTATTATACCCTTATAAAGTTATTCTGTAAACTTTCTGTGCTGTCTAGAATGAATGCAGACAGAGGTTCTGTGGCATCAAGAATTATATACGTCCACTGTATTTCAAAAAAATACATCTAGGAAAGGAGTAAGATAGATTTGAGGCATTTAAAATGAGACCAAATGTTCCTCTTTGACTAATAGACAACCATCCTCCCCTAATTCTGATAATTCAGATCAGAGAATCATAGAATTGTTAAGGTTGGAAAAGACCCTCATGATTATCATGTCAAAATGTTCACCCAGCACTACCATGTTCTCTACTAAACTATGGCCCATGTGCCACATCTGTATGTTTGTAAGGGGTATTTCTTTTCACTTGTGTGGCTTTCATGAATAACACATTGAGATGATTCCTTTAGCAAATATATCTTTGCTACAAAAGGTGACTAAGATATATTTCTGGAAAAAATAATTATAAAAGTAATTTCTTACACTTGTGACTAAAGTGTAACCTGCTGATGATACTGCCTTTATGGAACCTGATATAACTATGTGATGTTACCTGAGCTGATGATATGTGTCATGCAGACTTCTACTACCTGGAACAGCTACTACTGTTCCATTCTGCGCTAAACTAAAAAAAAAATATTTTTTTTTTCCTTCAAGGTTGTGATCAGCTACTTTATGGATTCTTGGCAGTCTCCAGTATCAAACATGTAGAAATTTCTCCAGGTAGAAGGCAAAAAACAGGTGCTGTTTTGGTAAAGCTATTCTAAGAACAGTAGAAACATCTGAAGTAACCCTTCCCATGCTGCTAGTTTTCCTAAGATGACGTGAATTTTAGGACAAATGTTTCTGCAAAAATATTTTAAAATATTAAACAATGTATAATGATTAGAAACAGACAAAAGGGAGAAATAAAAATAGAAAATTAAGCATTTCCTTCCTTTATTGTATTAAATGCTCATTAAGGCAGCGCATGCAGCCCTACTTAATTTGATGTAAGTAATTCCAGAAACTGAATGCCATTCATAGGTCCAGAGTGATTCACGGTATTCAAAGGATTTTGTTTGAGCAGAGTTATATTTGCTATGGCAGTTAAGCTCCTTCATCTATTAGAAAGGAGAATCTGAAGAGATATATGAAAATTTCATGCTATTTGCACTGAAAGAAATAAAAAGTAACAACAGGAACAACTATGAAAAGAAATTAAAATTAAGCTACAAAAGAGTCTGCAAGTACTAGAAAAATGGAAAAAAAGTAACTTTACAGAAAAAAAGATAAAATCCTAGAAGAAATCTAAACATAATGTGAAAACTGAGTAGTGCTAGAAAGCAGGAATTGAAGTCTGGCTCGGTTGGGAGACTGGCAGTGGGCAGTGTAAGACAGTTGCCCCCAGGTCACTGGGTCAGATTGGTTTCAGGTCAGTAGTGGCATGACCGAATTTTTGACTGTCTTTCAAAACTGTCTTCCTGGCTGTGCCCCAGTGTTCTTAAAACAGGCATCTCTTACACAAGACAGGAAACTGAACTGTTTTTTTCCTTTTGCTTATTATTTCTCATTTGCCCAGCTCCATTGCAGCTGATGTAGCCACAACCCTCCATGGCACTCAGGCTTGCAGCATTTTCACCATCTTTTGGTTTTCCCTGACCAGCTTCTCCCTGAGGTCTGGTGCTGCTTGCTTAGCAATATCACTAAACTCTTCCCCTCCCTATGTCTTTTTTTAATAACTGTACTTTGTGATAGGCTCATTGTTTGGTTAATTAGGAAATTATAGCTAGAGCCTGTTTGCATTTATTCCTTCTTTAAGCTGGGCACATTGGTGCAAAGAAGAGACTAAGGCTTTTTATGTCTTTTTCCCTTACATCTATTTCCTTTTCCCTTGAAGAAAGGGCTTGCATATGTCAGCAAATATGGAGCTCTAGACTCTAGAACTGTTCACATGGGATTTTTTGCCAGTAGAGAGAGAAATTTATTTAGTTGTTCATTTTGTTTTGTTTTAAACAATTTGCATCTAAACTACAGAGAGTAGAAACTTACTGAAGGCAAAACAAGAGGGGAAAAAGATGTAAAAGCTCTTCTGATTTGAAAAACATAATCATCCTACACCCAATAGTATTGGCAATCAGGTGAAGTACAACCAAATGGTCTTGTGGCATATTTAATCTTCACACTCTAGTTCTTTTGTTGAGGTTGAATAATTTGCTACAGTTAATTTCACAAAAGATAATAAACAGTTTGCAGGACCAAGGCTCACAGGAAGAATTATTGATTAGGTTAAGGTTTTGAACAACTTGAATCAGATCAAATAATGTATCAGAGTATGACTCTCTAGGTTGGGGTATGCAATCTGTTAGTAGGCCAAAATTAACATGCATATCATATCAGCCAGTGTTATTTCTCATTTATCAATAGAAATAACATAGTGAATGTATTGGAGACAGTGGATTCAGAAAGTTCTTAAATATATATTGAAAAATATATTCTGGAGCCATGGGAGTCATGGAAAATGTAGAGAAGAAATCAGATTGTACACATGCTCTAAATAATGTGGCAGCTCCCAGACTATATTAAAGCTCTAAGCAAGAATGAAGAACAAATAGAAATGGTATATTTATGAGCAATGCTCAGATGTAAATCTATTTATAACTAAGCCTTTTATACAAAGTGATTAGGCTTAGCAAGAAAGCTTGTTCAAGAAAACAAAGGACTGAATGTTTGTCATAGATTGAAATGTTGTGCAGGGTCTGCATGTGGCAGAGGATTTCTTTCTTGGTGTAATAATTGGACTCTATATATATATGACAGAAATGAAAGTAATTTAAAAGCATTTTTTCTCTCTCTCTTCTGTTCCACTGGGAACGGTCTTAAGGGTGCACACAGTCAACCAGAAGCACATACTGTAGTGTCTGCGTCATAAAATTTTTGTAAATACACTCGCTGCAGTATGCCCTACTCTCATGTCCAGAGAAGACAATTGTAGAAATAAAAGGAAATATTTCATTCTGCATTTAAATTTATCTCTGCATTAGGGAAAACTTTCACTTCTTCTGAGAGGCCTGATGAAAAGTGATCTGTTTTGATGTGAGTAAAAAGAAATGGAAAACTAGTATCCAGCTGTTTACATGAGATGTGTAAATGATGATGATCATAGAATCATAGAATCAACGGGGTTGGAAAAGACCTCCAAGATCATCAAGTCCAACCCTTGATCCAACACTGACGTGGTTACTAGACCATGGCACTAAGTGCCACATCCAGTTTCATCTTAAAAACCTCCAGGGACGGAGAATCCATGACCTCCTGGGCAGCCCATTCCACTGTCTGATTACTTTGTCTGTAAAAAATTTTCCCCTAATATCCAGCCTAAACCTCATCTTATTTGAAATATAAAGAACAAGTAAATTGTAATGTAGTTTCCAGGTGTTCTGAATATGATTCCTAATAGAAACATATCCTACTAGAGGCATCTAAGGAACACCAATTTCACAGGGACAG